AAGCATAAGGTTCTCACAGAGAAACAGTCAAAAAATAGTATAAGAACTTTATTAGGAACCAGAACACCTTTTAAAAGATTTGCATTAGGTTTGAACTAACATACTATAAATACTTCTAAAGTTTCATTGTTGAATACAAACTTCATTCTTGAATGAAATTACTTGAAATAAAATTCAGTAATATTCGTAGCTTCCTTTTTCAGGAAGGTAGCGAGAAAACTTAGCTTGCTTTCCTCCTTGCCTCTAGTAGCCTTGCAACTCGGCCTACAAGCATAAGTTGTCTACCTGAAATGGATACAACTAAAACATTAAAGACCTAAATAAATACATGCTCCATACTCACAGACTGGAAGACACTATCATTAACATGGCAATTCTCCCCAAAAGGACCTATAAATTCCACACAATTTCTAGTATCCATAATATACACTGAGTGGCCAGATTCTTATGACCACCCCATCAGTACTTCGTTGGGCCACCTTTTCCCTTCAATACTGCAGCGATTCTTCTTGGCATTGACTCCATGAGATGTTGAAAGGTGATGCGAGTTTAACTTCGTCCCACAAATGCTCAATTGGATTGAGATCTGGTGATTGTGGGGGCCACCTAATCAAGGTAAAGTCTCCCTCATGTTCTTGAAACCACTCCTGCACAATACAAGCACTGTGGCATTGAGCATTGTCTTGTTGGAAGAAGCCATCTCCATTGGGATATGTCATCAACATGATAGGATGAACTTGATCAGCAACGATACTTAGGTATGTTGTGCTATTCAGACATTGTTCCACACAAATTAAAGGGCCTAAATCACGCCAGGAAAACATGCCCCAAACCATAACACTGCCCCCACCAGCTTGAAGGGTTATACTCATGCATGTGGGGTGCATGTTTTCATGCTGTTTCCACCAAATTCTCACTCTGCCATCTGCATGATGCAACTGGAAACGTGATTCATCGGGCCACATGACTTTTTTCCAATGCTTGACTGTCCAATCCTTGTGTTCCTGTGCGAACTGGAGACGTTTTATCTTGGTAACTGCAGACAGCAAAGGTGTTTGAACAGGCCTTCGGCTTCCATATCCTATACGATGCAGTGTACGGCTAATTTGCCTACAAACGTCAGGTGGTCATAATAATCTGGCCACTCAGAGTGTGCGTGTGTGTGTGCGTGTGTGTGTATCCATCCCACGTTCAAAGGCTGTTAAGTCGCACTGTTTACCGATATCTTCAGAAAAAAATCACTTCTACTGTCGTGGTAAACAACCTGCTTCCCTATTTATAATGGTCTGGCCCTCTAGCAACTTCAGAGCGAAATTATAGCTAATTTGCCTACAAACATCAGGTGGTCATAATAATCTGGCCACTCAGTGTATAAGTAACTGACAAGAAAAAGGCAAACAACCCAATTAAAAACTGGGCCAAGGACTTGAATAGACACTTCCCCAAAGAAGATTGACAACCAACAAGCACATAAGATATTCAACATCATTAATCATTAGAGAAATGCAAATCAAAACTACAATGGGAGACTATTTCACACCCACCAGGATGATCATAATCTAAAGAAAAGAAAAGAAATGTTGGCCAGGATGTGGAGAAACTGGAACCTTGAACATCGTTGGAGAAAATGTAAAATGGCTCAGCTGCTGTGGAAAAATCTAGCAGTTCCTTAAAAATCCTGTATCATATCCCTGACTGGTTTGGCTCAGTGGATAGAGCATCAGCCTGCAGACTGAAAGGTCCAGGTTCGATTCCAGTCAAGGGCATGTACCTTGGTTGCGGGCACATCCCCAGTGGGGGGTGTGTAGGAGGCAGCTGATCGATGTTTCTCTCTCATCGATGTTTCTAACTCTCTATTCCTCTCCCTTCCTCTCTGTAAAAAATCAATAAAATATATATTTTTAAAAAATCCTGTATCATAAAAGCCTAATATGCAAATCAACTGAACAGCTGAAAGACCGGTGGAACGGCTGGTTGCTATGACACGCACTGACCACCAGGGGACAGGTACTCAATGCAGGAGCTACCCCCAGCCCACAGGCCCCAACCAGTGGCAGGGGACAGGGCTGGCAAGCGGGCGGCTCCAGACTGGCCAAAGTGGGTGCCAGCAGGGGAGCGGGGGGGGGGGGATCTCCTGATCGCCCCACTGGTCACCCCTGATCGCTGGCCAGGCCTAGGGACCCTGCCCGTGTACAAATTTCGTGCACCGGGACTCTAGTTTAAACATAAAATCAACCCAGCAATTCCACTCCTGAGTATATACCCAAAGGAACTGGAAGCAGGTACTCAGACAAATACATGTACATGCATGTATTTATAGGTGGCACAATAGCGAAATGGTGGAAACAACCCAAACAGTCATCAATGAATGAATGGCTAAAGAAAATGTGATCTGAGCATTCAATGGAATTGTTCAGGCATAAAAAGATAAAGTTCTGATGCATGCTACAATATGAATGAACCTCAAAAAAACATTATGCTAAGAAAAAAAGCCAGACACAAAAGATCCCATAATTCTATGATTCCATTTATGGGAAAAATCCAGAATAGGTAAATCCACAGACAAAATGCAGAATGGTGGTTGCCAGGGGCTCAGGGAGTAGGAAATGGAATACAGCTGCTCAGAGGGCCCAGGGTTGCCTTTGGGGGTCATAAAAATATTTGCAAGGTAGAGTTAGTACATGTACAGTCCTGTGAATGCACTAAATGCCACCACTCAGTTCAGAGTGGTTATTTTTATCTTACGTCATGTCAATAAAAAATTACTTAAGGTGATAAACTGCAGCTACCTAAATTGTGGACACCTCTCACACACCTCACAGAAACAGGTCTGTAAAGACCAGTCCCTCTAACTGTGGGTATCAGTGAGCAGCCAAGCCCAGAACCAAACAACCAATGTACTCATCAATCCAAACCAGTTCATAAAAAGTTTCAGAAATCGCCTCCTTTAAATTTGATAGATCATCCGCTTGCTTCAGTGAAGAGAAAATTAATCCTGTGAGATGAAATAATCTCCTACCATTTATTATATTAATCTCCTACCATTTATAAACAATGAAAAACAAATCTTTGCAGCAGAGGTGGGAGAGCAGAGGAAAGGGATAACGGACTGAGGGAGACGAGGGGAGATGGAAGACAGAAGAGCATATTATACTCTGATGAAAACGAGAACGGGAACAGCTGAAGAGGCGGAGGGAAGGGGATAATTTCAGGGCAGAGTATCTGCGTGCAGAGGGAGGCGCTGGGTCGGGCTGATGGCTGTTTAATCGCAGCGTTTGCTTGCAGGGCACTTCCTGCAGGCGTCTTATTTCGGGGCACATCGTCACGGCAGAAACCTGCTGCCCACCACAGCTCGCGGGATGCCAGGGACACCCTATCTACGACGTTTGTATTTTCCAGCCATTACAGACCACAGCACCTTCTGAACTCTCTCTGAATCACATGCCACACAGACTTAAACGCAGCTGCCTTTCCATGCAAGAGAGAGAAATCCATCTCTTACTGCCGATGGCTAATCCCCCAAGAGCACTGGGGCTTCCGTTTTGTTAAAAAATAGAGCAACAAACAGAACTTTGTAACATCTTAAAGGCAATTCACAGCTAAATCCCACAGCCTATCAATTTCTTGAGAATATTTGAAAAATTACTGCTGTTTAAAAAAACTGAGAGCAAACACTTTGTAAATTCTTAAGTTAACTTAATTCAAAGGCCCAAAGGAAGAATTCTAAATCAAATAGGAATATGCAGGAATTTTAACAAGTGAGCTTTAAATAAAAACACTAAGAAATCACAGAATAGAATGAAAATTAAACCAAGCCAGGCAGCATTTCAAACAGCTAATTTAGCCTATTGCACTCCGTGCCTCAGTTTCCTTGCCTGTAGAAAGAGATTATGACCTCAGTTCTCTACCCACCTTGCCACAGCAGCATGCATATTCACACGAAGGTAAGTATGCCTCACTTTCTATAAAAATAGGCATTAAGAACTGTATATAAATAAATTTATAAATCATTTTAAATATAGCTGGAGATTTCTCATTTAAAGAAGTATCTGTTGAATTATGTTATACTTTCTTTACTAAAAAGAATTTTAAGGACAGCTTTTTAAAAGCCAGATATTTACACTGGGATTTTCTTATTAAGTGACTTGGGCTTACCCATCAAGTATTTTAATTCTCTGGGTAAATATGCCATATATTAAAATTGTATGTGTTTTAAGCATGATGTTAAGATAATAACCCTCGCTCAAAGGCAAGTGTTGATGCTAATAGTTCAAGAACCAAAAAAACCTAGAAAAGCTTCCTGGCCTTCAATGTAAGAGGCTGGATTCTCCTCTGATCCCACATCAGCAGCCATTGCGATCAGAGCTAACCTCCATCTGTCGCACTCCTTCTTTGTCTAACACATTCAGCCTCTGGCTCTCCTCCATGGAATGTAAGCGCCCTGAGGGCAGGGGCTTGGGGTCACTTTTAGGATCACACCCAACACAGACTGGGGGGCTTAACCAATCAAAATGCCTGTCTCACAGCTCAGGAGGCTGGAGTGGGAGGAAGGTGTGGGCAGGGTTGGTTCCTTCTGAGGCCTCTCTCCTTGGCTTATAGACAGCTGTTCTCTCCCTGTGTCCTCACATGGACGTCCCTCTGTGTGTGTCTGTGTTCTGACGTCCTCTTCTTATATGGACACCAGTCACACTGGATTAGGGCCACACACACGACCTCACTTTACCTTAATGAACCTTTTTAAAGGCTCTGTCTCCAAATACAGTCACATCTGAGATACTGGGGGTGAGGACTTCACCATGTGAATTGGGAGGAACACAGCTCAGCCACAGAGGTAAGGAAGGAAGTTGCTAAAACTTTTAAAATGATAATTCTTAGGTACCACTAATAAAGTTTCTCTGCATCGTTAGAGAACATTTGCTTTAATGAATGATTAATACTCAGTGTTTAGTTTTTAAACCCTTTTCAAATACATAAATAATTCCTGAGTCTTCTGGACGTACCTGTCAGCAGGGCTTCCTGTTCCACTCGGAGTTCCCGAAAAAGAAGAATCAAATCAACAGCAATGCCGATTGTATCCAAGTTCCTGTATCGTGATGTTAAAAGAGACAAAGTTAGACACGTTCCCAAGCCCACATTTCACATGATCCAAAAGCAGCGCTGAGCCTGCTGGGGACAGTGCCTATGGCCAGCAGAAAAAACAATGGTCTCCAAAGAAAGAGCTCAGAATGTAGTGCTGCTTTCTGTAATTGAACAATCAGCCCCACTAGCTCCCCACACCTGTGAGTGTGACCTCACAGGGCAGAGGGGACTCCCAGCAGGAGTATATTAAGGACCCTGAGGTGGGAAGAGTGTCCTGGAGTATCAGGTGGGGCCAACTGAACCACAGGGTGCTTGTAAGGGGAAGAGAGAAGGTCAGGGTCAAGGAGGGAGGCCACGAGCCCAGAAATGCAGGCAGCCTCTCAAAGCTGGAAAACGTTCTCCTGAGCGTCCAGAAGGACTCTCCGTGTCACCTCAGTCACCTCAGCAGACACAGGAGAGATGGCATTACCCAGGAAAGCTCTATGGCAGCCCCTCCTGTCTAATGTGAATCCCTATTACATATGAGGCCCAAAGGATTTGAGAAGGTTATACCAGTAGAAACCCTGCCAGCTTGAACAAAATGCACAGAGAAAGGATGAAATGAAAGGTAGTCAGACTCCCCAAATTCTACAGGTAGAAAACAGGCTGATAAAACTACTCAGCTACAAACATGTGCTACCCTTGAAGAAAAAGGAAGGATGACGCTAAGGGCGGGGCCATGGGCAGAGTCTCAAGCCACGGAGGCTTAATGCCCGGCCTTGACACCTGAGTTTGCCCAACTGGATTTTGAAACTGCTTAGGGCCAGCGACTCCCCTTCCCTTCCATTCTCTCCACTTTAAAGGGCAATGGCTAACACTGTTATCCGATGCCTGTCCCACCGCTGTATTTTGGAATAAAAAAACTCATTTTCTAGTTTCACGTATCATGGGACATGGCCAGGCTCTTTCGTTCACCTATTATGTACGGCTGCCTTCACACTACCAGGAGAGAAATGAGAAATTCTGACAGAGGTCACGGAGCCTAAAGTACTTATTATCTGGCCCTTTACAGAAGAAGTACAGCAACCTCTGCAATTGGGTGACATTTACATGCAGAGCTAACCACTTCCAACAGTGTTCTCTGAGCACTTCCTGAACTGTCATGATCGGATGGTCTGCTCGGCCGTATTAGGCCCCGTTCCACACATCCTAGAGAAATAGCAGCCACATTCACACAAAGTGCAGTGTTCATACAGATGATGTGATAAGATCTAAGTCTCAGTAGCATCACACCTTCTGACTAACTCTTTAGTAACTTAAAGTAAAACACCAGGAAAATATATGTTGGTTGTGATCTGAATCTTGACAGGTTCAGAACTGGCTTCAGCACATTGTACGCGGAAACGTATTTGTACGTTTTAAGTTTGACTGTAAGTAGTAGAGCCACCTGTTACTACCCGCATACAATGTGTTTAAGGTTAGCCTTGAAGGCCTTATAGAATCTTTGTTGTATTTCTGACTAGAAAATGTTTTATTCTGAGCTGATACCCTAAACAGTTGGAATTTCCCTTTAAAATCAACAGTAAATAAATATAAATCTAGAAGGTAAAAGGCAGGAAAACTAACAAAATTCTATCTTGGTGTCTTTATTTTGTGCAACTTACGGGCAGGTTGAAATGAAACCGAACATTCTGACCCAACTGTAAGTTGCAAGAAATAAAGACAACACGACCACGGAGCATGGCCCAGCCAGGAGACCGCTGGTGTTTTATCTGCCACAGTATTTATTTGTGTAACGTTTGAATTTTTATAGTTTACATATATTACTTTTGTACTCAAGAAAGAAAATAAAGTGAATTGTTTCCCAAGAGAGTAACATAGCGTTTATTGACTGTACGGTCGCTCCCCAGGCAGGGGCAGAAACGACGTGCTGAGCGGTGTGCCCCGGGACCAGCAGGCACTTTACATAGTAATCTCATCTAAAACTCACCCTGTGGAAAGACAGGAGAAGCCGGTACTCAGGCGAAGGCCCTTGTCCAGGGCCAAGGGCTGTTACAGGGACGGCAGTCACACACAACAGGGTCAGTGTCTCAGGCTCGTTATGGCAGCTGCTCTGAGCTGAGCTCTAGGCTGGAGTCAGAAGGAACGCTCCTGGGCTCTTAGTGATGAGTGACTCGGACAAGTTCCTTAACCTCTGAGTCACAGTTCTTCCATTGTAAAAATGGGAAAACAGCAGCATACTATTTCTTTTTCTTTCTTTTCTTTTTTTTTTACAAGTATGGAGCCATCGCACAGACAATCTGATAACTATACAGACCCTGTCGGCAGGAACCATATGTTTTGATGTGTGTGACTGCCTATGGTTGCACTGCAGCATACTATTTCTTGAATTTGTTCTCAGGATTACACAAGACACTGCAAGTCAAGTCCTTGAGCTACAAAACCTGGTGCTTAGGGCAGGCGCGCAGAATGCCCGCTTCCTTTCCTGAGAGGCTGGCCAAGCGTTAAGACAGCCCTGCCAGCCCACAGCCAGTTTCTGCTCTAACTCCCCCTCCCTCCCCCCTCGCACGAGAGAGCCCCCCTGCCTAGAAAGAGACAAAAGAAACCTGCCCCTGGCCCACTCTTGCAGCACACAACCAGTTATGTTTTTAAATGTTGACTATTATTATCAAGATTATAATTGTTTCTATCCATTTGTCTGCAAAAGGATGGCAGGTTGGGTTTAGAATTAAAGTTAAACAACCCCAGCTTTTTTCCCTCTCGCCTTTTATCTTAAAAATCCCATTAATCACAGCGAAGCCTCAGGTATCAGAACTGTCTAGGCAGCGCAGGGCGTCCCCCTCAAGTGGCTTCTGGACCAGCCCGACTGCACCCATCACCGCAGTGACAGGGAGGCCCGGAGGCTCGTCTACACTCAAGTCCAGGAAAGAAAGGTGAGCGTGCTCTTTGAGGCTTCTGACTTCATCTCAAGTAAAAATGTTTAATAAAAAGCAGATTCCATAAAATCAAAGAGGAAAGGTGTTCAGTTCTGGGAGGAGAGAGCAACGTGTCAAAGAACGCGCACAGCACCGAGCAGTTTTTGCTCAGCTTTCAGCCACGTTATAGAACAGGTGGAGCCCGGCCAGCGCGGCTCAGTGGTTGAGCGTTGACCTACGAACCAGGAGGTCACGGTTTGAGTCCTGGTCAGGGCACATGCCCAGGTTGTGGGCTCGATCCCCAGTAAGGGGCGTGCAGGAGGCAGCAGGTCAATGATTCTCTCTCATCATTGATGTGTCTATCTCTCTCCTTATCCCTTCCTCTCTGAAATCAATAAAAATAAATAAAACAGGTGGAAGTGGAGTCTTAAGACAGGTCATCTTAGACCTTTACAAAACCTGCTCCCTGTTCAAAGCAAACACAAGGGCCACTCATTTAAGCACTGAAACGAATGAAAGCACTGACAGCGAAGACCAGCGAGGCCCAGAGCTGCATGTGCATTAGGCAGAGTCTGGGATCAACGACTCAGAATTAAGTTCCCATGTGTGCTGTGTGGAAAACCAGGTGCCTCAAAACACATAAATGCAAGTGAGAAACCTAAAGAACCCCCATGCTAACCACACTCCGTGGCGGTCACACCATTCTCTACCGGAGTCCTTCTCCCCCAGTGACACTGTAATGCCCCAACGGTTTCTCAGAGCACAGGTGAGGACAAGCACGCCACCTGATGGAGTTCTGGTTCACGGAGCACTCGATGCAGGCGTTGCGGAGGCACCGGAAGCATTCTGTTATCAGCTGCAGACTCGAGGCCAGGTGCTCCACGCGGGACGGGTCTCTGCAGGCCAGCTCGACGGTGCGAGCGGATCTCTTCAAGATATCCAGGACTCTTTGGAAGATGGTCCTGGGTGCAGTTTCCCTGAAAGAGGACAAAACTGTCACCAACCAGAAAACAATAACCTAATCTCCCCACGTCCTGTTCAGAACACAGCCTGTCCTTCTTTCTGGGAGGGTGGGGAGGTGGGCTAGGCCTGCCTGGGCCAGCTCCCTAGTTAACAACACAAAATAAAAGAGCTACACGCACTGAGCGCTACATGCCAGGCACTGTCCTTATCAACATTTTCATGTGTTATATCGTTTAATCTTTGCATTAAGCCAGCACTGTCCTCTCCATTTTAAAGATAACTGAAGGGGGGGGGGCTTTGAGCAACTTGCCCAGGGCCTCGGGCAATTACTGGCAGAGCCCAGTCCCAGTGGGGGCCGTGTGACCCTGTGCTCCACTCCCAGGACAGCCCAATCCCACTTTCAGGGACTGTTCGTGCTCCTGGATCTGCCCTTAATCCAAGTGGAATCGCTACATTTCATGTTCCAGATAGAGAGCAGAGCCATGGCCTGTCACCCAATGCGCAATAAAGCACAGTTACCAGAAACCAGTCATGAGGACTGACTGCCTGGGAGGCAAATATATGATCCATCTCTAGATACAGAGAAGCTGGCAACACTGAGGGAGAGAGAGTGTGCCAGCGCGCACGTAGTCATTCAACTACGTGGGGGGGAGGGGGGGAGGCGGGGGAGGGAGACAGAGACCAAGAGCCTGTGCCCAGGGGAGAAATGAGCTTGAGCTGTCCCCTCAGGCACCCAGTTCCCACATGCCTCTCATGCCAGGAGCGGGCCTGCACTGACTCTCATTCCAAAGCTATGAAGGTAAGAATTTTTTGTACAACACAGCACCTAAATGCAAGCCAACTTCCTCATTCCGGACTCCCCGGGAACCAGCCATCTATCTCAGCGTTAGAAGGTGGACTGCTGTGGGGACAGTGTACGGATCTTGCAGATTCATTGACCAGATGTGTTTCCTCCTTTTGCCCTCATCCTGCAATCACAACCCCCTACGTCACCTTTGGATTAAGCCAGGTCGTCAGGGAGCTGCGCATGCATGCAGAACTAGGGACCATAAAACGCCTGCAGCTGCTGGGCTTGCTCAGTGTCGGGAAGACCTGCATGTCCCCTTTCCCGCCCAGGGGAGCTACTCCCTCCTTGAGCTTCAGGGCCATGCGCGCTGGTACTCCAGGTGGTGTGTGTGCATCGCATGGGCAGCTCGTACAACCACACTGATGGTCTCAGCCTCTCCTTTAAGATGTCCACAGCATCCAGAGCTCATCTTTAACATGGAGTCCAAGGCATGACTTCAAGTATTAACCTTATTTTTCCCCACCTGGCTTTCCCTTCTCTCCCTTATCTTTTACTTTATTCAATCGTTTTTATATTTTCAGGTGCTTCAAATTTGTTTTTGGAAAGAGGCAGAGTGTAAATTAATCAATTAAAAATTGAGAAATCAGGCATAAAATAAAATAATTTGCCCGCATCTCCCCAGTCAGCCGTCTCTAAGTGTGGAACGTGAAGTGAAGCTTTGACTCAGCATGGCAGTGACTGGGATCAAATGACAAAGGAAAAGCTCGAGGGCACACACGGACCTGCCTCAGTGCCCGTAGGCAGCAGCTCAGTAGTAGCCGTTTTCAGTGCCAATTGCCACAAAAGACCTTCACTAACTCTCTCAGGAAAGCTTTAAGGAATACAAAATACAGTGCAGCAGACATTTAATACGCTAAGAAAATACCCAAGAGTTAAAACCTTTCAAAGACTGCCACGATCTCTACAACAAAGAATTTATTATTTAATCTGACATTCAAATAGAAGCAGAGCTCTGCAACTTGAATAATCTACAGTAAAGCCTCTTTTTTCCTAGTAAGATGGCTAAAATATGTGTATTACACCTGTGATAAAGAAGCAATTATGTCTTCTTTCAACTGGTCCTTTGCAAGCTACCTCTGGCATGGGAGTCAACTTCCTACTGTGAAGGTCGTCCTGATGTCACTCTGAAATCTTCACATTCAGTTTACTCAAAATTGGTATCTAGCACTGCAAAAGCTTGCAATCAAACTATGGTAGACTAAACACAATAGGAGAAAAGCATTTTCTTAGGAAAACTGGGTAACTGATGTTCCAGCAATAGAACAATTAATTCATGAACTGGCCTGTGATGATTCCCAATGTCACATGTTAATTTGTCATTTATGCACCATGCCTTTTTCTTTCATTCTTTCTTTTCTTTTCAATCCTCTCCCAGGGATATGTGTATTGATTTTAAAGAGAAAGGAAGGGAAAGAAACATCAATCGGTTGCCTCCCATACACACCCTGACCAGGGGTCGAACCCGCAACCTAGGTATGTGCCTTGACCGGGAAGGGAATCTAACCCGCAACCTTTTAGTGCATGGGATGACGCTCCAACCAACTGAGCCACCTGGCCAGGGCCATGCCTTCTTTTTTATTTATTACACTTTCAATCAAAAGAAAAATGTTTAACTGAGCTAGTCAATCAACAGGTTCCTGAATCCAAGTAACTATGACCAGCCACTCAAGAGGAACCATGGCAGCATCCATCGGGCACACAGTAATTCACATCTGTGGGTCAGAGAGAGGGGGAGCTAGGGTTGTGATCACTGTCCTTTCCTGTCTCCGGGTCGCACACCCATGAACTCCTGAACATGCCAAGCACCTGCAACCCTGTGTCTGTTCCACCAGAATGCCCTTCCCACACCTTCCCAGCCAGTTCTCTGCCTGCAAGTCTTTGGGTCTCCTTCATTCTCAGCCCTGGGGGAACTCCCCACTAGTCCAAGTGAACCAGTTCCCACCTCCATGCTCCACTGGCACTCAGTCCAGAAGACTGCAGTAGCACCAACATCCATCATCTTCACTTCCAGTTACCTCCCCAGCTGGTCTATAACCCCCCCCCCCCCCGCCCCCAAAATAGAGACTTTTTTTTTTTTTATCCTTAGGCCCAGAATTGGCATTCACTAATTGTTCTGTTCGATTCAAGTTTAAAATAAGTGATGAGACTATTTGCATACTCAGAGTGACATCTGACTTGTGATCCAAACCCCTCGGAAACCAGGCCTGAGCAAGCAGTGGAATCAGTGCCTGGAAAAGGGAACTGCTGAGGCCTCGGCTCACCCCTTCCATTTCCATTAAGAAAGCCACATGTCCTGGACCCCAAAACATGAAAAATGTCTTATGTTAAGAGGTAGATATCTTCTGATTGCAACTTAACAAACATCTAATTTCTCTTCTACACTATACAATAAATGGCTAAGTTTAAAGGGGGAGGGAGAGGAGTTGTAACCCGATTAACTATATTTGAAATTTCTTGAGAGCAGAGACTATTTCTTAGATGTCTGTATCCCTCTATAAAGGGGCTGGGGGAGACTCTTTCATCTAGACCAGTGGTTCTCAACCTTCCTAATGCCGCAACCCTTTAATACAGTTCCTCATGTTGTGGTGACCCCCAATTTCATTGTTACAAATTGAACATAATTAAAGCATAGTGATTAATCACAAAAACAATATGTAATTATATATGTGTTTTCCGATGGTCTTAGGCGACCCCTGTGAAAGGGTTGTTCGACTCCCAAAGAGGTCGAGACCCACAGGTTGAGAGCCGCTGATACAGACCCATAGAATAAATAACTATGATTTTATTCACAATATTTTATACAGTATGACACATTAACAACTTCCATCAGATGAGGACAAAAAGCTTTTACTCTTCTATACTTCCTTACCTTCTAAATGGCCTTGAAAGAAAGCTTTTTTGGCATTACAGATCCAAAGTAGTTAAAATGTACTCGGTTTGCAAATTCCAAGTTCACTGTCAAGACAGCACAGCTAAATATGTGTAATGATTAACGACAGTGAAATAACTAGTAACGATCAGTCAATCGTTCCTATATTACAAATGTTAATAACAAAAATTGCTGTCATTTCTGCTTTAACCAAACTAACACAAAATATTCACAAGGACTTTAAAAAGCTTAGCTACTTCATTCAGAAAGTACTTAAGAGGACAATTAAATTCAACCGTTAGACATTCCTATTAGGTAGGAATGCATACCCTGAAGACAACATATAAATGAAATGTTACATTACACACAAAAAAGGCCAAAAAAAAGCTTTTGAATTATACAAAAGGTAGAATTTCATTTCCTTCAAGTTTGAACAGATCTGTAGGTGTAATCTCGGCAAGTCTTGTTTGAGCAAAATTGAAGAAAACTACCCATGATTACATGTTAGCAGGTTAGAGAGGTCTAATAAACTATATGTATACACATTTTACAGTCAATTCATCAGGTGGAGCCTCCTCCTGAAAAGGAAACTAAATGCTAGTCATTGTAATGCTACAACTAAGACTCTCACACTTGCTAAAAGATTTATTCTAATACCTTAGATTTAATTAAAAACTGGCACATGCGGTTTAGAGTAGTTTAACCACTGTCACTAAGAAAAACTATTAAATACATACAAGTTCAGAGATTAAAGTAACAATCACTGGTTGTTATTAAAACCATAAGCCCTGCCTCCTGATGTGACTGGGCTGACGGAGCAAAAACAGAAAACAAAGCATTTCTATCTCCTGCCAAAAGCAGCCGAGGCAACATTGTGAAATTCATCTTTGCAGACCTCACAACTCCTCTTTGACAGTCTTTTCCCGCTTCTGTCACACCCAGGACTCCCCAGCTGTCCCTGACAGCCCTAACCACTCCCCTGCGCGGGGTGGAAAGGGTCAGGGACACACGTTAGGCTGTGAGGGGCTGACAGGCTCTGTCACAACCTCTAAGCTCTGCTGCTGTAACACAAAGGCAGTCTCAGGCAACACCTACCTGGCTGTGTCCTAATAAAACTAGTTTTATGGACACCGATACTTAAAGTTCATATAATTTTCACATGTCATGAAATTTTATTTATTTTCCCCAACCATTTAAAAATGTAAAAATCATTCTTAACTCAAAGTCCATAGATCTAAACTGAATTAAGAAGGGCATTGTACCCTGGCCGGTGAGGCTCAGTAAGTGGAGGGTTGTCTGTGCACCAAAAGGCCGTGCACAAAAGGTCTCTGGTTTGAGTCCAGGTCAGGGCACATGCCCAGTCCAGTCAGGGTGTGTGCAGGAGGCAATCAATCGATGTTTCTCTCTCCCTTCCTCTCTGTTTAAAAACAAATCAAAAAAAATTTTTTTTAAATCACATCGGTTTAATACCTTGTCTTTGTTTAAACTGCAATGATGCTGAGCATATATGCTGTAGTCCTTAAAAAGAAAGAAGGGAAATGAGAGCCTGAGGGAAAAAAGGGACAGCAAATAGGAAGTAGAAGGATCAACAGGTTGTAATTGAAACGTTTTAAAAAGGAAAAAAAAAATAGAAAATCAGATTGTGAATTTCTAACAAAAACCATGTTGAGATTTTATTTTGAACATCACTGAAACCACAGCTCAATTTGGGGAGAATTGATGTCTATATTCTTTAGGTTTCCTATCGTATAATGGTGTATCGCACCATTGAAGTGTTCTTTACTATCTTTTGATAAAGTTCTGTAACACTCTCAGTGGTGATGATAGCCACTGACACTCCCATTGTACTATGTGCCCTGCACTCTACCAAACACTCCATGGGTGCACTCCTCAATGGCTGTAATGAGAGGATCGCTTGTTTACAAACCGGCTTCAACTCTAATATGACTGCTCTAGGCTTGTGGCCTTCAGAGAGGTTGACTCAGCCTCGAGTTAGCCCCAGGGTTCCTTTGCCTTGGAGTGAGTGTCCTTGCCCACAGTTCCGTGACCACACCCTTGGGTCCAGAGACCACTACAAAAGACTGGAAGAATGAAAGACTCAGAAACTCTTCTGAGGGTACTACTGGTCACAATTCTAACCTTATTTATTTTGATTTGCTGGCTCTAACTTTTTCCTGTCTACTGTGTCCATTTAAGATAATTGAATGTGAGGGGTGGCTCACACTGACCACATCTGTATTTTGAAGTTGAGTCAGAACACCTTACCAAATAGTTCCATATGGCCTTCCAGCTCATGGCACAGATAAAAATAAAGGAAATTGTCATCACTCTAAAAGGTTCTTTTTATAGTGTAACTTAATTGATGTTCTCTCTCAACAAAGTTGACCTGAATCATGGTTGAGTCAAGATGATATGGCATCCTTCACTAAGCTG